CCCTGGTAATAATAGGAAATATAGCCCACCAATAGGAGGGCTACATATCCTATATGCACAGTAAATCCTATAAGCACTAGTGTTTCAACCAAGGCTTATTCTATTTCCTTGGCACATCTTTGTTTGGATATGTTTTTACGTAAGGCAATTTTTGTAATGTACTCTTCCTTTATTTTCCAGATTATGTGAAAGAAAAACACTAAAATTTAAATATTTCAGTTAGCATTTTAACCCTCTGTATACAGACGTGGTCTTAACCACCATGAAACTCTACATATTATAACTTGTCATGAAATTTGGTAAACTTTTAGTAAACATTACAAGTCTGTTGTACACAAATTAGATTTTTTAATTAAGTACTTTTATTAAAGATTTGCCTGTGGATTTCTGAAACCTTTGCTAAGTCATTCTGAATGAAAGGTGATTTTTTTCATGTTAAGAATATTAAAACTTTTTCATGTTATAGTTTTAATATTTCTCGAGCCTCCTAAATGATTATCAAAAAATTTTGTATCAGTAAAACATTATATTTTATCTGTTATTTTCTTTAACACTGTGTATGGACTCAGTACATTTGATTGAAATTGTAACCACCACTTAAAAATACAAAAATCTAAATTACTCTCTTTTCTATTTAGAATGATTGCATATAGCAATGGACAGTTATTTATCTTAATCTTCAGTCCTTTGACATTTTGACAACTGCATTTATTTGAACAGTATATAGCTATTAAACTAGCAGAACAAATTATCAGTGAGAACATAGTACAAATTAGAGTAAACAAACTATTGAGTCGCATCACTTGTGAGCAACTCATTCATTCCTTGTGGAGAAATGTTATTTAGTTTTTATTTCATTTAAGTTTACTTAGGTAATCTAATAAATTTCTAATTTTACATTTTAGTTACTTCTAAAACAATAAATAAATATTCATAAAAATACAAATTTAGCACTTACATGTGGGTCTTGTACTTCCTTGCAATTGAATTTTCCATAAAAGTTAACCCTAATTTTTAGGAAGGTTGTTATTAGCACTTCCTGAATTTTGATTTAAAATAATCAATTTAGAACACCTAATAATGACATGAACAAAGAATACTATGTCCTGTAAGTATTATAATGTAACTGGCTTTCTAATTGAGCTGTAAGTAGTTTGAAATACTTCTTTTGGTTGGTTTAGGTAACTTTATCAATAGTAAACTGTAAAGAATGAAACTGTAAACTGAATAATTCAAAACCTGTCATCAGAATGAGATAACTTTATAAGGAATTCAGTAAATTAAAATACTCTGTATTGATTTTATTTTTTGAAAGACAATCTGATAGGAAGGAATAGCATGTGGCTTTGACTTTTATAACTTAGTAAAGCAAGATAATTAGAGGTTATAAGTTTAGGTTATGTTAAGAATATCTATATTTTAGGCATGTAGTTTGTATTGTTACTTGTATCTGCTTGTTTGATAATTTCCCGTAAAATTCTTTCCGAGAAACTTCAGCGATACAAGTCCTTTCTTAATTAAAACTAGTTTATTATTTCTCGATACAACTTTATAATACACAGAATTTCCACAGTCACTATAACTTAAACACACGCTATAATTCACAATGATTCACGCACTTTACTTATGGTCACTACTGCTCACTTGACTCAATTATCTGTCTCTATCTCTATCTATCTGCAATTATTATCTCTGCTTTATTTGCTGGGCTTATATACTAAAATACAGGGTGCCTAGAAAAGACTAGAGTTGGCAGGAACAGTCATGATCCTTCTAAAAACTCCAGCACGCATGCTTCCAGCGTCACGTGACTTTCGCTGTCGTAACAGTATTAAAGTTCATAAGCTGAAATAGGGATGGAAAGAATGTCTAAAATGCACAATTTGGAACAAAGAAGTGTCACATGATAGAGAAGTGAAGATTTGGAATTTATTTAAATATTTCAATTTTAAATTAAGAAATCAAAAATTATAAACTACATTTTGATGCCAAGTTTATTGACTACATTGATAATAAAGTAGTTTAAACTGTATAAAAGGCTCTGACATGCAAACTTTGACCTTCCTGTGTCCATAGGGTTAATCAAATTTGTACTTTTGGAACATGTATTTCTGTGTTTGTGATAAGGTTTTTTTTTTTACAGTACTGTATTCAATTGTTTTAACCCATCTTACAGGTTTCATTAAGTACTTTTCAGTTTTATCATTACACATTACACAAATGACTAAGGCCTATGTATAACACATACCAGGCCAACTTCTATACAAAAATATTAGACAGTTAGACAGTTTCATGGATTGTCTGGATTATGAGTCCACATTTCACTCAAGATTCTGACACTCCTCAGCAGAAGTCATTTACTTCTGCAACTGGAAGTGCTTTGATGGCCAGTGATATTATTGCCATTGTGCAGAGGTGGATGATTCCATTCTGACCTCAAATCTAGGATTCCCTACCCTCTTGCTTCTGTTACTTTAGCTGGGCATGCCCCATTTTTAGATGAATTTTACCTAGTTTTTCCACATGTAGTGTTGCTGTTGATTCCCTCTTCTAGACAATGATCAGGTAATCTCACCTTCATCCATCACTAACACAGGTATGTCCTTTGTCTTTTCTTTCTCCTGTTGTTTTATGCTGATTTTCATACTAGCTTGTTGAATATGTCTCAGCAACTTGAATCTCTTCTTTCAGCATGAGGATCTTTTTTTTCTTTCCCTCTTGTTCTTTTATCTACTCATGCCCTTTTTGTCTAAAGTGGAACCGCAGATTAGTTTCTGAAGTCTTCACATGTCATTTGTTCAAATTGCTGGCAACCTGTTCCTTGTACTTTTTCTTAACCCTTTCTCAACAGGTAGGTCAAACTGTGCATGTCACAACCTATTATAGTTACATTAATTAAACTATCTCATTATCATTGTATACAAATAACCTTAACATCAAAACATAGTTAATAAACCAAATTTTAATATTATATAAGTTTTAAGTTCTTAATTTT